GCTTAAATTTTAGCCATCTTGAGCACTTGAGTATTAACAGTGAGCAGTTAATGAGCCACTCTGGCAACAATAATCATTCATGAGTATCATGTAGTTTCTTATAGTTAGAGACAGTCGTGGTATCCTATGCCAAGCATCCGTGAAGCGCAACGAATTTACCTTGTGCCGCCTATGTTCTTGAAGAATGCTTCTCGTAAATTCGTTTGTTTGATTGTGGGGCGGAGGAGAAGAAGCCATTTCCAGCAAAGTGGGTTGGTGTGATTGTGTGGATTCATTAATCTGTGTGCGTTTACGTTAATTAATTCGAAGACGAATTATTGTATGAGTTAATTCGCAATCAAAATTAAGTATGCTTATAAATGTATTTAAATGTTTTGAATGAACGTTTATTTGTGGAACGGTGCGTTTGCGTGTGCATGATGACGTGTGAAAGGCAAACAACGACGGGAACGTAATAATGTAAATAATGCACATGCAACGCATTTTGCCGTTAAATTCAGCATAAACATCAAACAAATAGAGATTATTGTGTTTCAGTTCTCTTCATTCCGCGAATATCTCTCCGAGATGGAGGTTGTGTTCGGATCAGTGCCTTATTTGTTGGTGATGAGCCTGTTTTTGTTCACTGTTCAGTGTGTGCAAGCTGCTAACTATCAAGCTGGCAGTCAGGTAAATAGATGTTTGATGATGGTTGAGTGGTGATAGTATTGTTAGTAACAATATAAACACTAGTAATGAATTGAAGAAGATTAGTAATAATAATGACAATAAACTTTCATTATAATTTCTCCTAATAACGTTGTTGTTATTTTCGGCGGTATGGATGCATATCAAAGTTGTTTGTTGAGTTATTGGTAAGTTCAATTGTTTATCATATCAATTGATAGTTACAAACAGAAGTACGTTGCAGATTCCTGTTTACGTGAACAAAATTGGTCCATATGACAACACACACGAAACGTATCATTTTTATAAATTGCCAATTTGCCGTCCCTCTAAGGTTAATATTTTCTTTGAAGCATTCAGTTACTCATTCTGTGATTGAGTGCAGTTTAATCTTGACCTTCAATTATTTCATTTGCGTCATGTTGTGTGAGTATTCATTTGGATGTGAATATGTGTATTAAGTAGTGTGTTGTACCGTTGAATGAATATTTTCAGATGGTATTCAAAAGTTTATCATTAGGACAAGTACTTGAAGGCGACCGTATTGCTGAATCAAATTTCAAGCTTAAGTTCGCAGAAAACCGAACCTATGAGTCGTTGTGTGGCAAGAATCACATCACAGAGGATGACTTCAATATTCTGAAAAGGGCGATTGAGGATGAATTCTATTTTGAACTTATTGTTGGTTCGTTTCAGCATACAACCAAGTTGTTTATTTATTTATTCGACTATTAATTTGATTTTCTTGGGTATAAACGAGCGTTTGCTCGTTTATTTATTTTCATTTTCGTCGCAACGAAACAAGAGTAGCATCGAGCATATGTCTACATTATGCTCATTTCATTGCATTTTCAAGCTGAAGTTTTTTTTTTCAGTTTTATAACAAATCATTTAGGATTCATGAGTTCAAGATGTGACAGCGGAAGGGCTGCTTAATTGATAGTTTTATCGTTACTTAAATAAAGTGGTTTATTTGAAGACGATATTCGTGTTCGATCGTTTGTTGGCGCTGTTGAAGAGCAGAACACATTTCCACACACCCACAAACTGTATCTCTTCAATCATTTCGTATTCGATATCAAATATAATCCCGATATCGGAGAGGTATGTCTTGTTTTGTTCAGTTACGTTGAAAATGGCTAATCGTTCTGATCAAATTCCGTATGCCTAAACATCAAAAGAGTACTTCTTTTTGTTTTATATAGTATAAAATTTCGATTTTATTGATAAATTAAGATGAATTAAATCAACCAGTGAATAGCTGTGATAACAGTCGTATTCAAATGCAGCAGTAAATGTTGTTATGCAGAATGTGGTTATGTGGAAAGAATCAAATCAATTTCAGAGTAATAATTCAGTTGCAATGTCTCTTTGATGTGTATCCAGTACAGTGAATGAATTTGCAGATAATCACAGTGAGGTTAAAATCGGACTTGGATTCAGCCAGAGAAATATCGACAGTACAACGCGATCAAATCGAATGGTTTTACACTGTTCGTTGGACTAAGACTAAGTATGGTATTTGTTCATTTTCTGGTGACGTCTCAACGTTTTTGGTAGTAATAAACAAATTGAATTTAATACATTGCATTATATCTCATACGTGACGATATTTTATGACGTTGTGATGATATTCATTTATCATAATATATAATATTGTAATCACAGCTATGGCGGTAGTCTCTGTTGACTTTATGTAGCAATTCTATATTGTTCGATTGCAATGAAAATTTTTAAAGAGAAACCAAACGTGAAGACGATACGATGGCATTCTTCAATCCGCGAAGCGCGAAAATTCAGTGGATGTCTATATTAAATTCAATACTTCTAGTCGTTTTACTTATCATATTTGTGTCATTCATTTTGCTGTCTGTTGTGAGTTTTTTTAAAGATTTTTTCCGTTTTATAAGAAAATTTAAAATGCTTTATGAATGTGATGAAAAATCGTTTTCGTGAAACGGAAACGAATCAGTCTGATTAATTGCAAAAATGATTTTAAATTTGAAATGTTAAATTGAGAAATTGAAGGATATGTGGACGTTTGCGAGAAATTATGATTTGAAACGGTAAAAATGAGTCAATTGAAGGTGAAACGTGACTTGAATCGCTACAATCAAGTGGATAATGATAGAGATGACGATTTATTCATGGAGAATGGATGGAAAACGATATCAACCGATGTTTTCAGAGTGCCAAAAAATGCGCATATTATTGCAGCCATATTGGGTACGTTCCATTCTTATTCTAGTAATTTGAATCGATCGTTCTGAGATTTGAATGACGTTGTTGTTTGATGAGGTCAGCTTACCGAATGGCGGAATGAATACAATTGGATTTAATTTGTTGTTGTTTTTCGTTTAGGTGTTGGATCGCAATTCATTTTCTTGATATTCATAATACTGGTAATTGGCTCGACGAATATCGTGAATGTACATCGACACGGTGTTTTGAGTGCATTTGCAGTTGTCCTTTATGCATTCACTTGTGGTAGTTTCTTTAGCTGGCTTGTTTTCTAAAGAGAAGACTTTTATTGTGATGATAAGACATGTCGGGTGATATGCCCGATTCTGCTCTCACCCGTGAATGGTTTTTTTCTCACTTGGCAATTTCTTATCCATTTTTCAGTCACGGGTACTTACAATCATTGCATTGTTTCTGAGTAAACACTAATCTATCATCTTTTGCCAATTTACGGTTGAACAAATTCTTTCATTTCATTTACATTTGTAGATAGTTTCTAAGACTCTTTTTGAACCAATTATATGATTATATGAATTAGAGAAACTTTTTTGTCGCTTCTGAGGTGCATATTCGCTCATTTCAAGGTATATCCGGCTTTGTATCAGCACGTAAATATTTTCATTTTGGTGGCACTGAATGGATTAAGAATGCAAATTTAACAACGGGACTGTTCACAGTACCGATGTTTTTGGTATGGTCACTGAATAACACTATATCATGGTTATATAGTTCCACTCAAGCATTACCCTACACGACGATTATCGCCCTTGCGCTATTATGGCTATGTATCGGGTATCCACTCACCGTGGTCGGTGCTGCAATCGGCAAGAATATAACTAACAGGTGAGTTATTTTTTTTTGAAGTTTTGTTCACGCGTTCCATTCATTTTTAGATTTGTTTTGTGTTGTGTTGTGTTGTGTCATGTGCTCGCGTTAGTTTGTCATCAGCGCAGTGTTGTGATCGGCTTTTTGCGTACAAATGATAGTCAGGTCGCGGTTTTGATTAATTTTATGAAGCATTGCCGTGCTCCACTAATCTTGGTTTCAGTCCTTCGCAATGAGTTAGTTCTCGCCTTTCCTCTATTTCAGTTATTCAGCTCCTTGTCGGACCAGAAACGTTCCTCGTCAACTTCCCGTCCTACCGTGGTACCATTCAACGCTATGCTTCGCCTTCATCGGAGGTTTTCTGCCTTTCAGGTGATCCATTTTCTTCCATTTGGATTTATTCCAGTGAACTTCCAGACGATTCATATGTAATTTTCAGTTGTTTCAATTCTCTCTTTAATGTGCAATCTTCTTGATTTCACAATGAATTGTCCAACAATCCCCTTCATGCATTGGTTTTGGCGTTGCTTTCAGCGATGCGTTATTTGCATCATTTGCTGTGTTACAGATTGCTTGAGAAATTGACCAATGATTGCGGTAATATTGGGATAGATATATTTATAATAAGATATAATTGTTATAATATGAACTAGGTTGATACAAAATGAATATTTATCATAATCTTGTGCAATATTTTAGTGCAATCTCTGTCGAACTCTATTATATGTTTTCCTCAGTGTGGGGTCGTGATGTTTATATATTATTCTATGTGATCCTGATAACGTTTGTGATATTGATTATGGTTGTTTCCACTTCATCAGTTGTATTAACGTATTTTCAACTGAATGCTGAAGATTATCGCTGGTGGTGGCGATCAATTACCAGCGGAGGGTTAGTGGACAGTTTTCGATTGCGTTCTCGAGTGGTGTTTTCGATTATGATCTAATGTTCATTCATTTCATGATATGTGACTTTCATTTTCTTATTCGTCTCAAATTAAACGTGTTAAATATGTTTTCAATGATTTCAGATCGCTGAGTATTTTTGTGTTTGCTTATGGAGTATTCTTTTATGCGTATCGTTCCGAAATGTCCGGAATACTACAGACGACACAATTTTTCACTTATTTATTATTGTTATGTTACGTATTCTTTTTGATTATGGGCACTGTTTCATTCTTTGCATCGCATGTTTTCGTGCGTTTTATCTATTCAAATATCAAAACCGATTGAATTTATTCAGCCGTTTTCATTCGACAACATTATCTCAAATATCATTCAGTTGTTTTCAGTATGATTATGTGCCACTATACTGACTGTTGTTGTCGATAGCGCCGTTGTTATTTTCGCTCTTGTACGTATGTATACCATTATCAGAACTACTGTATGATTTTGCCGTATTAGTGACGCTCCACTTTAAAATCCTTATAAACAGTGTTCGTCGGGAGATGGGTTTGCCAAGAGAGAGCAATTCCCTGACATTTTTTGCTCTCAGACTTTTTTGTCATGTTACCCTCTGGACAAACTCCTTCCCGCAAACCCGCTGTCCGCTTAGCCAATTTCCTGCCCGTCCCACTTGTTGGATCCCATCCTGGCCGCTCTGCTCCTCAACGGGATCCCCATCAGCCAAGAAGTTCCTCTGCGACGAACACCGCTTTAAGTGCTGATTGTTGATTTATAGTCCAGATTTGATAAAATCTCATTCACAGTCTGACCAAAATGTGACTCATCAAACTGGCTGTCTAATACGTGTGTTTCA